GAAAAAAATTACCATTTTGTTATATATATATATATATATTTATAAATATATCTTTCATTTCCTTTACTCAACGCAAAATAGTTTTAGTTTTTCACGAGTTTAAACTATGTCTTTAACATTTAGGAACGGTAAGCATGGTCTTATCTCGCCGAGAAAAAGATACTTCGTCACTTGGATTCAAAAATTGGACATTTCTCTCAGTTCATTTCTGGGGTGAGAATCCCCATGGTGTATGGAAAGTTCTTGTGAGAGATATGGTATGTGCACTTCATTCTCTTTATATACTATTCTGTCTCTGATATTGCGTTGAATTACAAATTTTCCTTTTTTTCAGAATGAACTTGTATATAACCTTAGAGTAGATTTAAATTTTATATATAAACATTATCTAATTCATGTAAGCAGCATGTAAGAACTTGTACAAAAATATTCATACGATTCAAAAGTATGATCAAAACTACAATATGGTAAGAATTACCATGTTTCTAAATCTTTGGGAAAAACAAAAGCGTGGTGATTTTACCGAAGTGTTGTGATAATGACTTTTGTTAAATCTTACAATAAGATATGGTTATTTTACGATGCTGCTTAATGTTGTAAAATTTGGTAATTTATCGTAATATTTTAGAGCAAGGCATGAAATTTATTTATACAGTTAATTTTTTTAATTAAATGTGTGCTAATAAGAACTCATATTTTGAAAACCAGAAATTCTGGTTAAGCGTTACCATACAAATGGAAAAATTACGAAGTGAATTGTTTAAATATCTTATATTTTGATTTTATCAACCAGAATTACAGTTTTTTTTAACCAGAAATGTCATTATCATACTATTTTTTTCCCGCGTAGTAGTACCAGTTCAGAATTTTTTGATATTAACATTTTAGTATTTGTTTTTCAGTCGACAGTAATTCGCCTGAAATATTTGTAGTTGGCTTATCTATAACAACAATTACTTTTTAAGGCGCGATGTTTAGAGATTAGAAGCGATTGAAAGAATATGTTTTTTTAAAATTCTTTATGCATTATTGAATTAAAGCAAAACACATCTGCCCCTCAGGTTTGTCATATAATTAGTCTAAATTTAAACATTTATCATCAGAAAATTATTGACTTTGATTAAAGTTCAAACAGTGCGTGTGATGCAAATACGTTTTATTCCAAAAAGAAGGTCCTGAGCTCAATTTTTATCCCAATCAAATATTTAATACGTGTTAAAGCAAATTTTCTTTAAACGCTCTATGGCTAAACTGTCTTTAACCGTGTTATGACTAAACTGCAATGTATAGGTTACATATTACGTATGCGAATCCGTCATTGTCTCATGTGTAATCATTGTATCAAAATAATAAATCAAGTTAATCTGTGATGCTTGAAAATCATCGCATTTGTTGTGTGGAGATTGCTACCAGCTCAAGCACTGACTACGTCATCTGTCCAAGATCAATATTACGTGGCAGTCCTTCCTCGGCTGATAAAAGATAAAGCCCCAGAAAACGGGGTTAAATGCTTCATCATGAATGATGGTGTGTAAAAAATTTTTGTTGTCATTTTGAAAAATAATGGTGCCAACAGCATACTTATTATTTTATTTTATGATCGGTGTTGAATATCCGACCCATCAATACAACTATCAATGTTCAAAGCCGTAGCCTTGTAAGTTTGAACCCAACCCAGAGGATAAGGGAATTCCATAATCAAGTTTGGAATAAACGTACTTCCAGAGAAAATTTTTTGATCGTATTAACCCACAGTTGCAAAACCACGAGAACCTCCCAGGATTAGCCAAACTGCAGCGTGATTCCAATCCACGATCCGTGTTTCCCTGAAGATTGTTTACGTCAGCACTATGGTCTGAGTTTCGGTAATTATATTTGCAACTTTTCAATGAGGTGAACTGGTTTCGAATCCTCTGCTATGGCTGGTCAATACGAATTCCGCATCCGGCTTGCACTGACCACAGTGCTGACGTAAAATATCCTCAGTGGTAAATGGATCTTGGGTAAGAGTTCCTTTGCCGTCAGGCTTACCGTAGCAGGTTCACATGGTCTTCCTCTCCATGTAACGCAAATTCGGGTTAGTTCCATCGAAAAGTCCTCCATGAAGACAAATTTCACCCAATAGTTGATCCGGGAGTTCCTTTGTCTTCTCGATTGGGTTCAAAATTACAAGGATACGAAGTCGTAAACCAAAAAAAATTGACTCACTTGTTTAACGACAGTTGTAAAATAAAATAAAACTCACCACCGCTTAAAGTTTGAACCTTGGTGACCTCATTGAGAGGCAAGAGCTCTAACCCCTAAGCGCTTGCGGTTCAGCACATTTATTATGAAGATTTCGACTGAAAGGCAAGATATTATCTTTCAGCATGTTAAAGTAATCATTTTAGCTTCATGTTAGTTGTTACCTTAGTAAGCGGGCCAAATCTATAGCGAGAAATAAAAAATTCCCTCAAAAAGCATCACAAACCCACCTTCTTTAAATGTTTTTCATAATTTCGCTTTAAGCGACTAATTTTCCGTAGGTTAGTTTATATATTAAGCCTTAAAAGTCAAAATTTATGCTTTGAAATTACATTGTTATAAAAGAAGAGCAGTCTATGCGATTTAAAAGTTGTTCCTAATTTAACGACAATAATTACAATATTAGTTAAAACATACATTAAATAAAAACCCCATGTGAAAAGAAGAAATGAGTGCAGTAAAAAAATGTTTTAAAATTTGCATTACCATAAGTTCATTACAACATTAGTTGCATTAATTCAGCAAAGCGATTTTATGAAATATTAAGAAGATATTCGTGTTTTTCTTTATAAATATTGAATCTAGAAAGGAGAGAAAACTGTTTCTAACAGCACGATTTATTTTTATTCTGAAACCTTACTTACCAAAAGATTCATTTTGTTCTCAATTTATTTTCAAGAATCGGGGAAATGTTAGAATGACTTGTCAGGTTTCAATATCTTTTATTTTCTATTCTGAGAACGAATTTCATGACCTCAATTTTCGAAAATTCTATCGAAGAAGATGAATTGGACTTGAAGAGTAAACAAACTGAAATAAATAGACGTATGAAATATCCCGATACATATTTTATTTGAAACCAGAAATATCTCTGACAATTTTGTGACAGGCGAGTTTTTCCCATGCAGATACATTTATTTCTAAATAATATAAATAAAGAATAGTTTTTGAGGATTTCTTTTATAGAAGCATTGAAAAATATTTCAGCATATTTTAGAAACCTAAAAAAGGGTGACAAATAATTTGATTACCTAAGAAAAGTTCTTTTTTTATTAAATTTAAATAGTAGTTTTAATTTTATATAT